TTTGCCCTCGGCTACCAAAAACTCACGGCTGGCCCGATGGTCACGCACTGAGGTTAAATTTTTTAGCCTGTTAACCATCACTGTTAAAAAGTTAATATCAGCCAGTGCGACCCAAAACCAAAACCAATCGTCACGAACTGTGCTCTATATTTCGAGTACAGAATTACTGTGATATATACATTTATTTCAGCTGGCCCGAGGTGAAGTTTTGCATATCAAAACTACAAGCAATTTAACACCCTCATTCGTTAATAAATTTAGTGATTTATGTATCACATAAAACTATTTTAGTGAGGAAACATTTTACTTTGTAAAATTGCTCTAACCTCATTTATTACCTTTCTATATCGCACACAATACAAAATTTTGTCTGACTGTTCTGTTTGCGACGATCCCCGAGTCGAGTCTGGTCCATTTCCTCAGTTGGGCGCGGGCTCATTTCCCGAGCAGCGGCTGGTAAGATACTACATATGAACAGCTTTAAAAAACTTGTTCTATTCTCCTAAGTAAGTCTATCTAGTCTTCAAGGAAGACAGCAATGCAAAGCGCGGTTGCTTTATCAGTTTCCAGATCTAAATGTCAACTCTCCTTTGAAATTATCAAGCATATGTCTACTATACGCTGTGAGAATTTGACGGAATATCAAGAACACGTCCACCAGCTGGTAATTTTCTGTTTTCTGATCACACGTCTCSTTGACTATGAATGGATAGTGTAAGGAGAAGAAACTCCATGTTGAACACTCGTGGAARTCCAAGGCCAAACTACTGCAGCAGCGGCCCACTCACAGCGTCGTTTTACTGTAGTTGCAAAATCTTCAAAGAAAGCAATTTCTTCAGGCGTACACACTCACTGATCACGGCGTAAAATGTCCAATCTTCAGGCGAAACCAAATCCTTCACTGCCTTCATTTATTGCGAGCAAAAGCTTCTTCTGCATTTCTTTGAATGACGAGTATGAAGGTAAACTGAGCTGATTAAAACTGCAAAGAAGAAAGAAAAAACATTCTGTCGAAAATTGTTTTGAAGGGTGTCAGTTCTTACAGTGTAGTGTCAGTCGACAGAAGTGTTTGTATTTGATTCTACTCCCGCAAGAGTCACGTGTGAGATAAGACTAAGTAATGACGTAGATGTACAGAGATCCGTGTAGTCTCTGATTGGTTAATACTTGCTCGCAAAAATTTAAAATCCAGTAACAACCAATCAGACGCTACACGTATCTGTGGAATTGTGTCATCAGTATCGAATTTCTGGTCCAATCACGAAAGTCTTTAGAATGACAGGAATTAAGTGAATTTAACTCTGAAGATTTCTTTCCATGACTATCCACAGCTGGACGATCACACTATACGAACTAACAATACTCTTCAGTATCAAACCATTTGCCCAGGTTACATATTGAGAGGTTTCGGACCTAGAG